CATATTTGTTAGTTTGCTAATATGATTAGTTTGCTTAGCATGGTAAAATACCTAAACACACTCGAGGATTAATGGCTTTTTTTCGAGGATTGTACGACTACAGTGTCGTTTTACCTTGGAATGTTTTACCTAGGAATATATAGGTATAACTGACACTCTTTTACAATCCATGAATCTTGGAACACTGTGCTTATTAAAGAAGGAAAAATTTATTTTTTGAATCACATGCATTTGGCCATGTGAAATACACTGTATATAATTACAATTCGAACAATGGAGTGCAAATCAAATAAATTTAATTAAGCACACACAGCAATCTTCGAATTCCAGTGAAAAATCTCCCTCAAAAACTGGTGGTTCGGCAATATCTAAACTCCGAAGAAAACCGTCTCTCAAGCCAAAGCTGACGACAAAAATTAGAGATAAAAACCTCCGCCCGTGTATCAATATCATCGTCTGATGCTCTTCTCATTGGAATACTCTCCATCTTTGACACGTTCTCGCAGGCTGGGGCTATGATTAAAGCTCAACCAGCGGTGGTAGGAGGATCTGTGAAGGATGGAAGTGACATGCCACCTGGTTCGAGTTGATCTGATGAGACAGTTGAGCCAGTAGTGACCATTTTTTTGCTCGATCCATTTGATTCTCTGATGTGAAGAAATTGGAAAGGGGGGTTTACATAGGGTGTGAGACTGTGGGGTGGGGGCTGAGAATTTTGAAGCAAGATTGCAGCTCTGCACGGAGGATTGTAAGGAATGATTAATTACTACTCCTCTTTAATCATCCTGTGTGTTAATTTCAACATGTCTCTGACAGATGTCATTGTCTTAGTTCGACTGTCAGTTGCATATGGTAGTGAAGCTGTCACATAGCATTCCCAAATGCAAACGTGTTTTACTGAATCACCTGATCCGTGGTGACTAAGTTTACCTAATAAAGCACAAATCCATGGTTGGCCTGGCAAAATAGGGGGGAAAAAAACACAAATTCACTGTTATTCTTATACCAGGAATAACTGTGATTTTTGAACAATGCGGTAATGACTAGGCTGAAGCTTGAGGAGATGATCAAAGGCAGACAATAAATTTATCATGTAAATTAAAGTTTACAGAAGAAATGTGTGGTGTGTATCTCAGCTTTAAACAATGCCGGCGAAAAGGATTGAAGCAAAGACTAAACAATGCCTAATAGGACACTTGATTACTAACGAAAAAATGTAAATATCCCAAGGAGTTCTAACCTCAAGAGTTGGCAACTAACTGCTCGTGAACATCAATATGCGAGTCACCATTGCCATTTCTTACAGCATTATCATCAAATGCTTGTGTGTCATCTGTAGCCCCCTCAAGTTGCTCCAGTTTACTTGACCATCCATACATTTTTCTTCTGGCATCTCTACGAGCTGTCCTCTCTGCTAATTTCAGGTCTTTAAAGCCCTGTTCGAACTTGGCTTCATCTTCAGGTGAAAAGAACACTACCTCCATCTTCCCAAGCTCCTCATATAGCTTCTCAATCTTTGCTTTCCAGAAGAGTCCCATTTCTGTACCCATTTTGTGATACGGAGTCTTCAACAGGTACTCATCAATTCCACCTGCCTTGTCAATGCAACGTAGGGCATGTGTGGTGACTTTCACTCGAATATGTAGGTCTAACATGTAACTGAAGAGCCTCTTCTCCTGGACATTTGGTTTCCAACATCTCGTTGTTCTGCCACCATCATTACACATCTTAATTACTTCTCAACACTAACATAATATTCAGAAGAGAGTAACAATTCCCAATCACTATACCTTAACTAACCATAACTAGATCTCCTCAATTTACCAACAAATTGTCCAAAACTGAATAATAAGTACGATAAATCCATAAAGGTTATCCCATTATCAAAAACCTACAAATTACACCAAAGATCAAGCCTTGATTCCGAATCACCACAAACTCAATTCTCAATCATCCCAAAAATATAATTATCCATTAATCCATAAAAACATGTTTCTACCATAAAATTAATCCAAAAAACCACATATTTCCCCCAGAAATCTGGTCCAACTAAAGCAAACTCGTTGGAATTTTCACTACCATAAAAATTAAAGGAATGAATAAAGGGCGAGAGAGAGTGAGAGAGCAGACTTGTTGCCACCGTCTTCGCTGATCCGGTTGCCGAACTGGATGTGACGGCCTGCGTAGAGGCAGCGTTTGGCGCGGTTCATGACGACCTTGGTGTCCGGTATGGATTTCTTAAGTTGTTCTTTGACTCCTGGAGCAAGGTTATCCTCTCCCACCTTCTTCATAAGCTTCTTCATCATCTCCTTCCCTCTAAATGCCATTTTCAAAACCTTCTCCTCCGTCCACTTTTGCTGCCTATCAACAACCTTAGGGTTGCCACTTCTCTTCACCAAGCAGGTTAGCAGCTCAGACTGAAGACTGATTTTTCCGGGACCAATAACGACGTAGTTCGGATCATAACCCCAAATATGACCTGCCGAAAGGAACGCCCAGAAAAAAAAATTTTTTTTTGGGGTCAAGAGTATAGGGTTTTTTTTTTTAATAATTATTTTTGAACTAGACAATTTCAAATTAAAGTTTTTCCTTTTTGATAAATCAAGGAAAAGAAATTTAATGCATAAGTCGCTCATTTGAATTAAACTTAAGATTTGGAAGTCATTCTATCTTTAAACTTGTGTTACAAATTAATTAATTAAATTGATGGGACCAACCACTTGTTAGATTGAATAAAAAAATTTAATTTTTTTAAAATAAAATCTCGAATTTAAATCTTGTAAAAAGAGAAACATGCGTCGAGAAAAATTTTTTTTTATGAGGTTTGATGTTACTTGATTTTTAATTAGTCAGATTCAATTTGACTTTTGGATACTTAAAGATTGATATTAAAAAAAAAAAAAATCTAAACTAAGTGGGTCTTTGACTTAAGGCATAGAAATTGAGTCAAGTTATCATAAGACAATAAGATTATAGACACTAGACATATTATAGAGCTCCTTATAATAGAGTTGAACAAAGGCTATAACATTTTCTTGACTTGCAAATTAAATAGATTTTTCTCTTTTTGGTCATTAGGCAAGATATTAATGACATTTTATTAATTTGTATCTTTGTTAGGGTCACCATAAGTAATTTTTCACTTGTGTTTGTTAATTTTCAAACCAAAACCATTTCAATTCAAAACGGTCTTTGGCCAATCACATTACCATGAGGATCATAATTACACGTGATAAATGTGTCACCACTTGCACACACAATTCTAGCACAGCCAACCTTCAAACTTTGTCTCCAAACCATCTGGGTATAATGCAGGCAGTCTTTGTTCTCAATGCAACTGTTAGAATTGTAGTTGTAATAATCTTTCTCCGCCGCCCATGGCGCCACTGCATCTTCCGGCTTCCAATGCTGGCCGCTACCCCAAAAGAGATTCTCCCCATAATCACTATTTGAATGAATCAATTCACAATCTCCTTGCCGTTGATTTGCCCACCAAGACGCAAAATTCGCAAGCTTTTTGCTCCATTTGAGAGGAGGCAGTCCGAGCTTAGCTCTCACAGTGTTGTGAGGTATTAGAATTTGATTGATTGTGTCAACTGAAGTAGCGAGGCGTCTCGAGAGGATTGGGGACAAGACATTTTTATCCCTCAAGAGCGAAAAGGATAAGGGAAGAAGAGAAGAAAGGAGGAGGATGACTAATAATAGTCCACAAGAAAACTTGGATTGAATTTCCATTCTTGGGGTTTGGAAGTAGATTGAGAATCAAAAACTTGATTTCTTCTATTTATATATAGAACAAAATTTCTAACTTCTATGATTGATCACATGGTGATTGGATGCTGGGAAAAGGAAAAGAATATTTTCACATGGTAAGGACTTAGTTGAGAGAAAATTGAGGTGTATGACATGTTATTATGTTAGTGAATGTGGGTTTGACTTTGATTATTAACTAACAAAACGGTCTCCAATCAATTGTTGTTATTCTTTGGCAACCAATCAGAACCAAGGGATCATTCTAAATCAAATGATTCAAATCTATGATATATGAATTATCAAAAAAAAAAATAATCTATGAATATTTGAGAAGATCAATTTGCATATGGCACGTGAGAACATGTGAACCAATTGCTCATGTGTGCTTTTTTTTAGTTTTTATTTATATAATATGAGAATCTAAAATTTTTATTTGATTAGTCGGATCTTTCTAAAGTTGTAAATAAACTATAGTTATTAGTAATCATTTTTAGTTTTCTTACCACTCCATTTAATTCATTATTTATTATAATTTTTAGTTACTTAGGGTTCATTTGTTTGGAGGATTAAAGATAATTGATAGTTGTTGGATCTTAATCGGCTTGATATAAGAATTTGATAAAAAAATTTAATCAATTGTTAGAAATCGGCTAATAACTATTGAGATAGTAGTGTTTTCCACCAATTATGCATGATAGCTATTGGGTTTAAAAATATTTATGATTTAATTAATTAATTATTTAATACTTATATGCCCTTAACTTAATTTATCGAGATCTCCTTAACAATCATGGTTGTTTCCTCTCTAATCTTGAAAATCAAAAGGGTTCTTGATCCAATTCCTTAACCAAGCAGAATAGCACACTTATAATAAAAAAAATACCAATATAAACCCTAAATTATTTTCCAGCAAACAAACATAATTAGGATGAGAGATGGAGAAGTGCTCCACCCTAATCTCAAGCAAGTGGATTGCTTCAGATAATAAAGCACCTAATTTCGTCATTAGAGGGCAATGCAAATAAGGTTGATTTGGAAAAAAGTAAGCCAGAAACATCTGCAAGCGCAGCCCCAGATGCTAAAGGCATAAAACTATACTCCCACCTCCCAGAACTTGGCACCAATCTGGTTGCTGCACTAGCCTCGTAGAACTTGGCACCGATGTGTAATCGCGAGCAATCCAGCTGTATGTCTTCTTTTTTTTTTTATTTTTTGACAATCAAAATCGAGACACATTGAATTTTATAAAAGAGAAGTGCTTCTAGTATTTATTTTTTTATTTATAAAATTTAAATTTAATAATTTATTTTATAATAATTAATTTTTTTAACTCAAATTAACCAATTATTAATATCCAACTGAATGTTACCGTGAAAAAAAAAAAGGGTTTTAGGAGGCCGAAAGATTTTCAAAAAGGAATGGAAAATTATGGTGTCAGAGAAAGAGAATTATTATTATTATTGTTTATTAACTTAACTCGTGTAGTTAGATAATGATGAGTATTTTATTTATTATATATTTTTATTTTTTAAATTAAAAAATTGTGGTATTATTATTTTTATTGAAAAAGGGAAAAATTTTAGGTTTTTTTAGTATTGTTTTGATTATGATTTTTTTATTTTGATTTTTACAAATTTAAAAATTTAAAAATAAAATTAAGTAATTCTATAAATTATTTAAATTTAAAGTTTTGAATATTTATTTTAAAATTTTATACCTGATAAGTTTAAAATTATTAATTATTAATTATTTAAATTTTAAAAATCAAAATCACAATCATACTAAATGAATAAGTAATTTTACTAACATTAAATATATCATTAACAATAGTTTAACATCTTACTGGAAACGACTAATAGTTTTATTATCAATAACTAATTACAAATAACAATTAACTATTTAAATAATTTAGTAGTTATTTTCTTCTATTAAAAGTAATAGATTCTAAATTCAAGTCGTATGACATATGGGTGTGATAAGATAAGAAATAAAAGGTGATTATTTTTCATTGTGTAATCAAAATAAAAAAATTACAAATAATAATAACTATTAATTATTAGTTATCAATTATTAATTATTAATTATAAATTATCATGATATTTTAATTGATTAATAACACATAAATTTAAATATTGAATCTTGATTTTAAATTAAAACTTTTAAATTAGTAAATGTTAACTTATCATTCGTTATTTATTTATTAGGTTAAAATTTTACGATCTTCTAGAATGAACCGTTATATCATGATCAACATATGATTTTTTTTTTTTTTAAAACAGAATTACAAATTTGTGGGCGGAGGAAACGAACCCCATCCCTCAAGTTGAGGATATACCTTATAAGCTGGTCTTGGGGCCTGAAGCCCAATTGCGATCAACATATGTTTTTACTATCAATATAATCATGAAACAAAATTGTAAATTGGTTTCATAAAACTTTTTTCATGAACCCTCTACGCCACGCGCCGTCTCCAAAATGAAAAGCTAACTTCCAGAGACATGTACACTCGTCACGTCAGCTGCAAAAAACTACTCGAAATTTCCGGCATATCAAATCTTCGTTTCTCTTTGATTTTCTCTTCATTTCCTTTCCCAGTCCTTCAAGAAAACAGGCAGACATTGAATGACCCAAGACCCAAATTTATCCCATCTCCTCCGTTAGGACCATCCCAAGATCATGGCTTACTACAGAAGAGCAAAGCTCGCGTTTGCTGCCCTGCGCAGTAATTTCCAACCTAGGATTGTACCCAAATCCCCAGCTGCAGATTCCTCGTCTAGAGTTTCAGGGCGTTGTGGGTATTTGATTTCAGCTGGAAATGGAGCCAAGTTTTCTGGGTTTTCTTCAAATTCTTCAATTTCTCAAAGATGGGGTTTGCCTGTTGGCACCAGCAGGAATCAGTGTAATCCGTTTTTGAATGGGGCGAAGCGATTTTACTATGTGGATCGGTACCGTGTTCAGCATTTTAGGCCGCGGGGGCCAAGAAGGTGGTTCCAGAATCCAAGGACTGTGTTGATTGTTGTGTTGATTGGTTCGGGGGCTTTTGTTACTGTATATTTTGGTAATTTGGAGACGATACCTTATACAAAAAGATCCCATTTTGTGCTTTTGTCGAGAGCTATGGAGAGGAGGATTGGGGAGCATCAATTTGAGCAAATGAAAGCATCTTTCAAGGGAAAAATATTGCCTGCAATACACCCAGAAAGTTTGAGGGTAAGATTGATTTCGAAAGAAATCATTGGGGCATTGCAAAGAGGGTTGAGGCATGAGCAGGTTTGGAGTGATTTGGAGTATGCCTCGTCTGAGAGTGCAGCTGGGGATCAGAGTGGACATGATACACTGTTAGCTCTCAGTAAGGATGGAGAAGGGAAGTTGGAGACTGAATGGCACCGTGAAGATGAGATTCTTGATGACAAATGGGTGCAGCAAAGTAGGAGGAAGGCTCAAGAGAGAGGGTCACAAGCAAATACTTCTCATTTAGAAGGATTGAACTGGGAAGTTTTGGTGGTGAACGAGCCTGTTGTTAATGCTTTTTGCTTGCCTGGTGGCAAGATTGTTGTTTTTACAGGATTGCTCAAGCATTTTAGAACTGATGCTGAGATTGCTACCATAATTGGGCATGAGGTATTGTGTTTAAGCACTTTTTTTTTTTTTTTTTTGTTAGTTTATTGAATATGGAAGGATGTAATGTTCCTTTATGTGTGTTTCTCATTAGGTTGGGCATGCTGTGGCTAGACATGCAGCAGAAGGGATTACAAAGAATCTGTGGTTTGCCATTCTACAACTGATACTTTATCAGTTCATCATGCCTGATCTTGCCAATGCTATGTCAACTCTTCTTTTGAGGCTTCCTTTCTCAAGAAAGTATGTGTCCAATGGTCATTCCTTTCTATAGCTTCTGGGGTTTATATAATCATTTTACTACATCCTTGCTTGTTTCCTTTTGGGGTTTTGGTTTGAAAATCAGTCTGAGATATGTTTGCTGACTAAGAAACAAACTAGGAAATGCAACTCTAGACTCTTTTCAAATTCCCTGAATAAGCTTGAGGTTTGTTTTAGTATGAAACCATGGTTATTATTGTATTATAATAGGATGAGTTGAATCATTTTTTACCTTTAGGTGAGTGTATTCTCTACAAACAATTAAGAGGAATGTGTAACATTTATAAATTAATCTGTGGTTGAATTGTTTTTAAATGTGCAGTATTGGAACTTGCTAGGCAGAAGTACATTATGGGGAAGCATAAGTGGTATTTGCATTAGTACTCAGTGACTTAGCACTTTAAAAGGCTCCAAAGAAGTATTCCAGAATCTGTTAAAAAACATTCAGTTGACTGATGTTGTTAGATGTTGCAATGCATAAACTAGTGTGGCAGGGCTAAATAAATAATCAACATTTGGCATCTCATATGGTGTAATCTTTCAAATTAGAAGTTAGTTTGCTGAATCTACTGTATCCACAATGATGGACAGCTTAAGCTAATACGTGACATGGATGAAATTTTGTCTTATGATTGCTCTTTGTGGTTAGAGTTGACATACATATTTGTGCAAGGAAAAATGCAGGTTTTTTCTCTTATTTTAGGGGGGAGGGGGAATCTGCTGATAGTTGATGATCTTCCAATTGTCATTGGTTTGCTGCTCTGGCCATGACAATTATATAATGCAATGCCCTTTTGCAACTACCATCTTTCGAAAGTGAGGCCTATTTCTAGCAGCTACTGGAT